TGTGTATACATGTATACGTATACATGTGTATACATGTATACGTATACATGTATGTATACATGTATACGTATACATGTATGTATACATGTAATGTATACATGTAATGTATACATGTATGTATACATGTAATGTATACATGTAATGTATACATACATGTATACATGTAATGTATACATGTAATGTATACATGTATACATGTGTATATATACATGTATACATTACATGTATACATGTATACATACATGTATACATTACATGTATACATGTATATATACATATACATTACATGTATACATGTATACATACATGTATACATTACATGTATACATGTATACATACATGTATACATACATGTATACATGTATACATACATGTATACATACATGTATACATTACATGTATACATTACATGTATACATGTATACATACATGTATACATGTATATATACATGTATACATTACATGTATACATGTAATGTATACATACATGTATACGTATATATACATGTGTATATACGTATATATACACGTGTATATATACGTGTGTATGTATACGTGTATATATACACAGTCTCTCAACTCTGTGTATCTCGATCTGTGTCTCTCTCTCAACTCTATGTGTGTCTCTCAACTCTGTGTCTGCGTGTCTCTCTCTCTCTCTATATATATATCTGTGTGTCTCTGTCTGAGTGTCTCTCAACTCTATCTATGTCTGACTGTCACTCTGTGTGTCTCCATCTCTCTGTGTGTGACTATCTCTGTCTCTCAACTCTCTATCTTTGTCTGTCTCTCAATCTATGTCTGTCTGTCTATCTCTGTCTCCATTTTAATGCTGTTGTTTTAATTTTTTAAGGTATATTCTTACTGCTTTTTATTTCTCAGTGTTACCATTAGTGTTAAGCACTTTGATAACAGTCTATCTGTTTTAAATTGTGCTCTATAAATAAATATGACTTGTCTCTGACTATGACTGTATCTCAACTCTGTCTGTCTCTCCATCTCTATCTGTCTCTATATCTCTGTCTTTTTCTCTCTTTCTCCATCTGTGTCCGTCTGTATCTGTCTGTCTCTCTCTAACACACAGGTTTGGTTCTGAAATGTCCCGTCAGACTTTGGATGTTTTTCTCTTGGAGCAGCAGAGAAGGCGTGCAGCACAGCTGTCCCGTTGGGAGCCAGGGACACAGCGCCAGAAAGTCTCTTCAGTTGTTCCCGCAGACGTCACAGCCCAGCGTCCTGCAGGCAGAAACCACCACAGACACGTTTAGAGAGGAGGACCGAAATGTCATTGAGAATGGTCATCGTGTAAATCTACAAACAGTGTTGTCAGAGAACATGCAAGAAGTCGCCTGTTGGTGGCTACAAAATAATAGTACACTTCACCAGAAGCACTTCAGGTTTATCTTAGTAAAAATAAAATCCAAGGTGAACACAAGGTCTGATGACATTTTTTTGTCCTAAACATTTGTAAAGTTACACCATGGACAGACATATACTGTCAATGCTACTACAGCTAAAGCTACTTCCAGTTGAGTTTACACCAAGATTAGTAACGCTCATTTGGCTCTCGCTTATGCCAATATTAATTGATTAATATTAATTCTATTTGTAAAAAAAAAAAAAAAAAAAAAAACTGGCCAGCCAACTGGTCAGAACTTTGAGACATTGAGAATCCATGGGGTCTTCTCAAGAGGAACACCAGAGCCAACGACAAAGAAGATCTGGGCTTCCATAACTCCCAGTCAATGCCACATCGAGGCAGAGATGAAGACATTCACAACCAACTGTTGGAAGATTGACATTTTGTTGTGATCCTAATTTATTTTTTTTACTGCAAAAACTTAGTAGTGTGATGTCTTCACAGTATTCTAATTTTTTTAAATCCTGTTTTCATGGTTTTCATGAGCTGGAAGCCCAAATTATGTTAAAATAAACAAATATTTGAAATTGTTTAAATAGTGGGCCCTGAATCGATCATCTATTAAAGATTAACTTTTTGAAAGAAACAACTTTTCCACGATATTCTAATTATTTTTGAAAGGGTCTTTATAGGTCCTTCACTACATCATGGTTCGTTTATCGCAGATTCTCTCTATTGTGGTTTTTCAAAACAAGATTGGACACGACAAACAAATGGCTGATTGATGGATGAGCTGCACGATCAGCATGGAATTTTGATTTAAAATAAAATTTAAATTATTTAGCACCTTCTGCTCCTTTGTGCAGCCCATACTGCAGAATAAACTTCCTCCTGCAGCTGAACAGCTGATCTACGTGCAGAATGGAGAAGTGGGCGTGGCCAAGAGCGCTTGCAGGTGGCAAAAAACAGATGAGGCAGTGAGATGAAATCATGACATTCTGTCTCTTTTTAGAAACATTGTTTAGAATATTACAGGAGTGGGAAGGGTTTAAAATGCTTTTTTATATATAAATATATATATATATATATAGATAAATATATAAATATATATATAAATATATATATATATATATAAATAAATAAATATATATATATATATAAATATATATATATAAATATATACAAATATATATATATATATAAATATATATATATATTATATATAATGTATATAATGTATATAATTATATATATTATATACATTATATATTATATATATTATATATATATGGTAAAATAAACTACTACTTGTAGTACTATTCCTATTTCGCGGTTTTCCACTTATCGCGGGTCTTCAGGGTACGGACCCCCCCCGGCAATAAACAAGGGACAACTGTATATTAACTAACTAACCAAGTAACATCTGCGTTTCTGCAAAAAGCAGCTGGTTAGAGGCTCAACTCACCAAACTGTGTGTTGGTGAGGTTTAGGCAGGACAGGTGGTAAACTGTGGTGCAGGTCTTGTTGCTGCACAGAACCAGCTGACCTCCATCTCTGCCGCGGAAACACTCGTCTTTGACTTTATTCTTTCCTTCACTTCTTCTCCTCTTTAATGTCTTTGCTCGTTCTGTGAAAGTCAAAGAACATTTTTAACAAAATTAATCTAGGGCGATATGAACCAAAGTGAATATCTCAATATTTTTAAGATAATTTGTGATATATATATATATATTTTTACTTTTTATTCTTTCCATAAAGTAATAAATATATATTTGAGTCAAAGCTTTGTCTCAGTTGTCACACAGGCACATTTATTAACAGCTGTAGCTGTATAAAATAAATGTCTAAAAAATTAACTGTTTACATAGATAAGTACAAGTTTCAAGAAATTTGATAATGTCAAAAGAAAAATCAAAGCAAATATGTTCTTGTTTTTAGTTTTTCACCGTTTTACGGTACCCTGATTTATTGTTTTATACACCACTCTTATTGGTGACTGCACCCATTATTCTACACCTGGGAAGAGCGTCTACATCTGTCTCCGTTAAGGCGGCCTGAACCACAGTGGATTACTGCAGTGATGCGGCGGGACATGGACGGATCAGTGTGGCACTGCTCAGGTGTTCTGAGAGTGTTCTCTTCTGAATTGTTGGCTCTGGTGTATCACATGTTCCTCTTCACAATGCCAGGTGAGTTTGCATGGTTCTTAAACCAGGTACTGGTATCTTTGGCACTGTGTGCAGGGGCCAAGTCCTGTTGGAAAATGAAATCTGCATCTCCATAAAGTTGGGTCAGCAGCAGGAAGTGTCGAAAACTTCCTGGTAGATGCTGCGTTGACCTTGGACCTCAGAAAACACAGTGGACCAACACCAGCAGAGGACATGTCCAAAGTGATGTTCTCTGATGAAAGTAACAAAAGACCCACAGCTTCAAGCTCAAAGGAGGAGCAGCCTTGGTTTTTATTTGGCTATGCCACTCAGAACATTTCAGGGTTTTTTAGCCTCACGGTTTGTAGAGCACAAGTCTGGTTCTGTTTGGCCCAATTTCTGTACTTTGGAATAAAAACTAATGTTAAGACTGACTTCTCCTCCTCATTATTCTGGAGGTGGTTTTTCTGTTCCTAGATGATTTTGATCATTAACCTGGACTTGTTAAACTCTACTTTTGTATCCAAGTCTCAATTCTGCCCATGTGAGACGAGGGTCAGCCCAGTATGGGAACATGGTGTAAGTTAACTTTACTCAAATCACAAGTTCAAAGTGTTTTCACTGGAGGTGCACCGATCGCCCATTTCTAAAAAGTCTGACCTGCCGATCTGATTTTGTTTTCTAAGTGACACGGTCACCTTCAATTTATTTTGTTAAAAAACATCCCCTGAACAACATCCTAGAAACAATACAGACTGGTTTTAACTGGCCACGAGGTGGTGCTCTGAAATATAAAGGAAGTTCAGACAATTGTTGTTAAAACTAAAAAAATAAAAATGAAAAAATCTGTGAAATCAGTTTCAGATTCAGATTTTGCTAAATTAAGAAAATCGGGGCTGACTTATGTGTGCACCCCCAGTGAAAACCCCCCAGTTCATTAATGGAGGATATGGAGAAAAAGTGGTGCGTTTCACATGTAGTGTGACAACTTGTGAGACTTAATGTTTTAATCTCAGCACTGACATCACTTTCCCAAATTAATAAAGAGGGTTTAACCAGTCCAAGTGGGATCACAGGTTAACTGAAGGCAGTTTGAAATGCTGCAGAGCCACAATCTACTCATTGAACACTCACCGTGTCCTCCTGCACCAAGACGTGAGGATGCTCCTTCACAGAGATGCAGAGTCCTTTGATGAGGAACTCCCTTCAAGCACCGGTGTCATCCTTTACAATTAGAACAAAGAAAATATGAGATGTGAACTCAAATTTAATGTAGCACAACAGAAGGTGATCAAAGACAAGAACTACAACTTTATTTAATCACTCACGTGACACCAACACATACAAAACATAGAAACTGCCCATTTGACCCGACCTTTCTGGACTGGACTTCATATAATCTCCAGATTATACTAAAAATCAATGTCTCGCAGTGGAACGGTGAATGCATGATCAAAATGAAAGGCTTCTTTCACTGGAATTTTAAAGTCAACCAATCCATCCACTTCAGAACCGCAGGTAGATTTGATCATTAGCAGGGGTGCAACAATAAATCGCACCGATTTTCCTTAATTTGGGGAGATTGTCTGATTCTTACATGAGAAACCAATTTTTTTTTTTTTTAGTTTTAACAACAATTGTCTAAACTTGATTTAGATTTCAGAGCACCACCTCGTGGCCAGTTAAAATAGGTTGGTATTGTTTCTAGGATATTATTTAAGGGCATGTTTTTCAATAAAAGAAGATGTAAAATTGAAGGAGCGTTGTGACCTTATAACTCCTGACAGTGTCGCTTATAAAACTAAATCTGAATCGGCAGCTCAGACATTTTAGAAACGGATGATCGGACAGAAAACTGCAATCGGTGCCCCTCTAATAATCAGTAATCACATGTAAAGAAAGTTGGGCTTTGCAATGGAGGCAACATATAAATGTTTACTGACCAAATGCTGTAGACACTTCATGGCACGGGACAATTTGAAAGTTGTTACGGTCAGCGTGGCAGCTCCGTCTTTCAGCTTCTTGCCCGGTTTATCACTTTGCAAACATTCAGCAGACTTCCTGAGAGAAAGTCAAGCGGAGGCACAAACCTTGCCTGCAGAGCCATGGTTGTTGTGATACGCCTCAACTCTGCATTTATCTGAAACAACATGAAATTAGGATTAAACAATGACTAGCACAAAGATTTTGAACATTAAAACCACAAAACAGCAGCTAAATGTACATCTCTGACTGACAAGGGGTAGTTTTAATAACATGACGTATTCAAATGAATTAATGGGGCGTTCCATGTATGAAAACTACATGGGCAGCTTGCATGTGCACATGACATACGACTGTTAATTCCATGATGCCCATGTGTCACTCGAGGCTTCAGAATATGGGACCTAGTTGAAAAAGTGAAGGGCAGGCCTTGCACTGCCACATGCACTCTGTCACCGGAGCTCTTCTGGCACCATTCACTGGAAAAGTGAAACCAAAAGGTTCATGTCCAGTGAGGACAAAATGGAGTTTGATATTTCAGGAACGCATTTTGAATCAAAAATAGAAAACAAGAAGAAGACGGTACAAAATGATTAGAGAATGAACTTTTAAATCTAATAAGGACTCCCTAGAAGTACTTATGGACAGCAAGCCACAATTGAAGAAAACCCTTATGAGAAAAACAGTCATAACAAAATGTTCATGAACTGTGTACAACTTGATCATGTGACCGGGCCTTTACTGACTGCAAAGGGTTATAGAAATGATAGCTATACTTACAATTCATAGATTTAATAGAGCTCAAGTGCACGTGGACATTTTTCAAATAGGCCTGTTTTGTTACCATACATGACTGGAGCCAAATATAACCACCAAATGTTCCTGTCAAGTTCACCACACCAGCTAATCTAATGACATCCATGACCTTTCTGACAATATAAACACGTTAAAGTTAAACCTATGGCACGTGTTGAATTTCACCGATGGATGAATACGGTGGGCAGTGTGAGACTAACGCTGCGCACAAAAAGGTTAAACTATGGAACCTTCAACAGCAAATACAACGAACTGTTCTTACCACGAGGATCAATCAGCTGACTGCAGGTGACATGTGCTCGTTCCTTTGTTTCTCAATCTAACAAGTGGAGTGGGGTGTCGGGGAAACCTTATTAATGCAACTGAGGCTGCGTTCACACCAGCCCTGTTTAGTTCGCTTTAATCCAACTCCAGCTCGTTTTCCTACAAAGTCCGGTTCGTTTGGGGAGGTCTGAACGCACCATCGAACTCTGTCACGGAACAAAAAGGTGAACTCTGGCCCGGGCTAAAACCTAGGTCTGGGTCCGGTAGAAGAGAACTCTAGCACGGTTCGAGTACAGTGTGAATGTAAACAGACCGGGCCCCGCTCCACAGGTAAACAAACACACATTTCTCTTATATGGAGCCGTCAGCTGACTTGTGTGAAGAACAATATTCTCCATGGTCTTCTGTCTCATCTTCTGCTCATGCTGAGTCCATTGTTGAAAAATGACAAAATATAACTCCTAAAACTGGATGCCACTTCGTTTTTATTTTTATTTACAGAAGAAGAAGACGTGTCTTCAGAAGTTTTTGTGTCGTTTCTTTCAGTAGTTCTTGGTGCAGCGCCCCCACAGGCGAGCGGGGGAACAGGTTGGCTCAACAACAGGTTGGCTCAACAACAACAGGTTGGCTCAACAACAACAG